CCTACACAACATAGTGAGACCCTGTCTCAAAAATAAGCAAACAAAAAACAATCAAAGTCTCAGATTTTCAAAAGCAATACCCTCCAGTTTCCAAGTAGTTTTAAGCATAAAATCATATACCTTCCCACTCTGACCTTGCAAATATTTTGGGCTATAGAACAGGTTGGGAAAAAGACAGAGACAAACTAAAGATATAAAAATAGTTACTCTGAAAACATTCATGGATTAGAAATAAAGAAAATGTCACCAATGCAGGCAATTTATCATCACTTCTTGATTCTCTCTACTTAGCACTGCTTATTCCAGACTATCAGTTGAGTCCAACTTGCTTACTCTTGCCTTAACTATTCACCCTTCCTTTCCAACACATTCTTACCACAGCTTCTGTGAATAATCTCTCCATCGGTCATGTGTGCTATGTTAAATCTTATCAGCTCATATTTAAACTCAAGAAAGCACTTATTTCTTCTCCTTCAGGCATTCCTTTCTAGTTTTGTAAAATAAAGTTATTTTACCTCATATACTTGAGAATAATAAGAGGAAGATATTCTAAGTTAGACCAGGCATCCGCATCAATTTAAATGTCTACACTATGCAGCCTATCTCAAGTGAATTATGTTGCTCCAACATTATACCATATGGTAATATGTGCTAAAAGATGTATTTATTCAATCTTTTTACTTTTATCAATATAATAATACCTTTAGTATAATTTAAAATAACACAAATGCTATAGGTCTTTCAGAAGCCACTATTTAATATTCAATTCTTGTTTTTATAATTACTTTGATTCAGTCTTGCATCCAAATGAAGTCCCTATGAAGTACTTCTGTTAAAGCACCAAAGTACACCACACTGAAAGAAGAACTTCACTAAAAAGCAGAACAATGGCTTTGCTGTCCTACTTTGGGCTTACTCTATGGCTCTGATTTTCTGCCAATGTTGCTCTAGCACTTCTGAATACCAAACTATGATCAAAACCATTTTTAAAGATGTGATACAAGTGACTTTTCCCCCTTTTTAACTCCTTTGTGCTGCAGAAACTTTCTGTTTACATCTCATGATACTAAGAAATTAAATACAATCCAAGGTCAATCAACACCTTCCCCCAAGGAAACTGAAGAGAGTTGTACAGTGATTTGTTTTGTTTTTTTTAAAATCAACTTAATCACTTTCATGTTTTTTAAGTAGATTAAAAGTTATGTATGAGAAACTCACTTAAATTTTTAACTCAATTTTAAAGCTCGCAGTCACTTCAAAATCTATCCAAATGATACCTACCACCACTTCTGAATTTCTCTAAGATTTATACTTCTCCTCTACCTCAGCAACTCACTCCCATGGTCATCTCCATTGTCCTTAGCAGTAGTTACAACACCCCCACTCCCACACAATCATTCAAATTCCCATTCCAGAGGCGCTCCTACTATCAATTCACTCCCTTTGAAACCCTTGCCCAACATTGACCCTGACATGTCATTATTATCCCCCATCCTCTCATGTCTTGGATTCTGTAAGCCATTATTATAACCACTCCTTATAAATATGCTCACTGTCCTTGCCACTGTCAAACTTCAATACAGATTTTATATCAGATTTTTCACCAACCCTTCCTCATGTTGCTGAAGAAAGGTGAAGAAAAGAGACAGAGAATCATACTGACAGGTTATTTAAACTAGAGACTTTAATGCTACTTAGCTCAAAGCCTGTCACTATCCAACTATCCTAGCCAACTTTTCTCACTTTAAATTTATGCCACGTCCTATCCATCTCACTCTCCATCAATAACCACTTTGCTTCCTACTTCACTGAGAGAAGCAATTAAAAGACAATTTTTTATCCTCCAACTCTATTTGCACCACAAATGCCTGTGTGCTTTTATTCTAACTTTCTGCCTATTTGGATAAATTGTCCACACATCTAGTTCTTTTGCTTACTTTTGAACTAGTGCAATCTCAAGTTCAACTGTCAAAATGATTAAGACGCTGGACTCAAATATGCTTGATGTATTCCAAGAAAAGCAAGAAGCTGAACTGACAAGCTTCAGCTAAATGAGCAGAAGGGAAAAGTAGCTGATGTTGAAATGCAGGTATATGAGGGTCAAAATGCCAATCATATATGCCTTATGGTTCACCACAAATGGAAATGCAGTGAGGATTCTAAATATAAGCCTGACATGACCTAACACAGGCTTTTTTAAAAATCACTGATTTCTATATTGATTACAAACTTTGTGGAAGGAAATCTTTTGGATAATCCAGATCAGAGATGAGGTTAACTAAGCAGCAGAGTCATGGAAAGTGAGAAGAATTTGGATATATTATGAAGGCAGTGTAGATAAAATTTTCTGATGCTCTAAGTATGGATTGTGAAAGGCATCAATTTTGAACCCCATGAACTAGAAAGATGAAGTTGGTTTTAAGTAGAATGGGAGATCCAAAAAGTTGGAGGGTAGAAAAGATTGTTTTAAATGGGTAATCTGAAATTTCCTTAAGACATGAGGTGAATATGTTGAGTAGGAGGCTGAGATACATATGTCTGGAATTAACAGGAGTGGTCCTGTTATAGAAAGATATGACCTGGGCCAGGCATGGTGGTACACACCATAGTAATTCCAGCTACTCAGAAAGACAAAGATCTGGAGATCATGGTTTGAGGTCAGACCAGACAGAAAAGTAGAAAAGACCCCTGTTCTCAACCAATAACCCAGTAGAATGGGAGATCCAAAAAGTGGAGGGTAGAAAAGATTTTGTTTAAATGGGTAATCTGAAATTTCCTTAAGACATGACCAGGTGAATATGTTGAGTAGGAGCTGAATACATATGTCTGGAATTAACAGGAGTGGTCCTGTTATAGTAAAGATATGACCCTGGGCCAGGCATGGTGGTACACACCAGTAATTCCAGCTACTCAGAAGACAAAGATCTGGAGGATCATGGTTTGAGGTCAGACCAGACAGAAAAGTACAAAAGACCCCTGTTCTCAACCAATAACCCAGGCATGATGAAGCATGCCTGTGGTCCCAGTTACAAGGAGCTACAGGAATGAGGATCATGGTTTGAGGCCAATCCTGGGAAAAACCACAGGACCCTATCAGAAAAACAACTAAAGCAAAAAAGGACTGGGGGCATAGCTCAAGTGACAGATAGCTTGCTAAGGCCCTGAGTTCAAACCACACTACTGCCAAAAAAAAAAAAAAATGAACCTTGGCACATCAGCTCTCAGAGGCTCCCAGCCAGTGACTTGAGCATAAAGGAGCTGACTCAGGGAAATGAGAATTTCTGACAATGAACTTGGCTCACAGACTCCCCCAGAGCCTGGCCAAATTCTCCTTAGAACCACACTGCAGCCTAACTCATTCTATTCCACCTTCCAATCATTTAGACTTGCACTGTAGTTTGATGGCTCTCTCACCCATCTCCTCTCCATCTCCTCTCACAGGTATTCCCTCCTAATGTATTTCTCGCATATTTGGTCTCATTTTGGCAGCTGCTTCTCAGAGAACCCGAATTCATTCAGCTGAAGTATCTTTAAATGAAACAAATTTAACATAAATCTCTAGGAACAAAACCTTGTCTGTGAAAATCAGAATGGTACTTTCAAATGATGCTTCTGATTAGGCTAACACACACAATTACTAAACAAAGCCAAGACTCAAGGGAGAGGTTATACAAATGTGAATACATGTAATTGTTTTCAGTCCTCTACCCTTCTCTTGTTCTCCAAACTTGCAGCAAGCTAGTCCTTCAGAGAGTAGGACAGGAACTGACAGAATGCCAGATCACTGGAACTTCCTCACTTCCATGAAGAGTCAGCTGGACTCAACTAAGTTTCATCATCTTCACTTTTGTTATTTTTCCAACAAACTAATCATATAACAATAACGCTATACCATAATTTTATGCAAGTAAAATTCCTGGATCTTGTCACATTATGACAGGGTTTTATTGTTTATGTTAAAAAAAAAATAGAAGTCCAGATTAGAATTCTACATATTCATGCCTAACCCATAAAAAATAAGCTAAAACTAAAATTCAAAAACTAAACCTGTCTACATGAAAGTTAGTTGGTGGGGGTTTTTTTCTTTCTTTTTTTGAAATTTTTGTTCTCATTTGGGTGGTACTGGTGAATGAATCCAGGGTCTCTACAAACACTCTACAACTTGATCTATACCCCAGATCTATTTGCTCTTTTATAATGGAGAAATCATTACTAAATAGGCACATAATTCCAAATGTGACTACAAGGAAACAAAGACCTTTAAAACAGTGATGTTTTAACTGTGTTGGTTAAGTCCACAGATGCCCCAACTTTCTTCATTTTTAAATTAAAGGAACTCTATGTTACTGATTTCCTTATGCAGGGAATCAGAATATACCACCCCAAAACACATCACTTTTTTATTTTGAGCTGAAGACAACTGAGAAGCAGCAGATCCAAGAAGACCTCTCTGCTAAGAACAGAGTTTCCTGTGGTAAAGGTGGCATCAATTTCCACAGCAGAGAAGCTGATCTGAGAAATGTAGACAATGTGTCCAGAGAAGCAGATAACAGAGACTGGGAGCCCTAAAGATGTGTTCCTTCCCAGAGGGTGTCATCCACCTAGCTAATCCACCCTGGCTGATCCATCAGGCCATTCCCAGAAGTGTGTTTCCTAGCTCACTTCATCAGTTTGAGCTTACAGACTTGGTGTCACCAGAAATGGAGCCCCTGTACCAAGATGAATCTGCAAAAGCATACCTTACTGAAATGACCTTTGTCTTCCATTAGTTCCTTCATATACTTCCCAGTCATCTCCTCACAATTTAACTCACCTAGAAGCCCAACCACTCCCCTCCTTTCCTTATCTACTCACTTCTCCACAATTTACTGCTCTTTGTTCAAAATCACATACAAACCTCCAAGTCTAATCATCTTCCTAGGTTTCTGCTTCTTTTCTTTGAAGCCTCCAGGCTTCAAGTAAAAATATTAACATCAATAAAAATCTGTATGTGGATTCCACCATGGTGTACTACCTAGGCCAGGGCCAAAAGGTGCAGAAAGTGATGGTGCAGCCCATCAACCTCATCTTCAGATACTCGCAAAATAGATCTCAGATTCAGGTGTGGCTCTATGAGCAAGTGAATATGCGGATAGAGGGCTGTATTATTGGTTTTGATGAGTCCATGAACCTTGTGTTAGATGATGCAGAAGAAATTCATTCAAAAACAAAGTCAAGAAAACAACTGGGTCAGATCATGCTAAAACCAGATAATATCACTCTGCTACAAAGTGTCTCCAACTAGAATTGATGAGTGTAGTGACATTGTTAAGAATACTATAGTTTTTTTTTTAATGTTTTTTGTTGGACATACAACCCTAAAACATGTTCCTGTTTTTTGTTGAGACCTTACTATGTATACAGTTTTCCTCACCCTTATGTTATTATCAAATGACAATAAATACATTGTTTCTTTGTATACAGTGGTAAAGATCTTTTACACATACACAAAAAAAAATCTGCATGTCTTTTCTCCAGTCAATATGTCTTTTGTCACTTAATTCACAGACCTTACCCACTGAACCTAAGATTTCTGAGAAAAAGATTTTCTTCCCCAACACTTATTAGGAAAACACATGTAACAAAATTGTACAGTTTTAGCGATTTTTAGGAGATATTAGAGCACACCCACAGTTTGTAACCATCTCCATTATTCATCTACACAGCTCTTTGTCTTATAAAGTTACAATTCTATGTCCTTAGATAATAACTCCCAGGCTGGGATGTAGATCAGTGCTTACCTAGCATGCTCAAGACCCTGGGTTTGATCCGAACACTGCACTATTTATTTTTTTTTTTAAGCAACAGCCTTGCCTCCCTTCAGTCCTGGAAACTATGTCTCTATGAATTTAACTGCTCAAGGCACCTCATGGAAGTGCAATTTGGTAAGTCTGGCTCAAAGAATCCCCAACAGCATTGGCAAACTCTCCTTAGAACCACACTGTAACCTATATGCACCCAACCTTCCTCCGCACTCCTTCCTTCAAGGTCAGACTTGCACTGTGGTCTGAGACTCTTTGGGTACTCCCCTGGGTCTCTCTCCATTTCTTCTCACTAATACATCTTTTTGTGACTGGTTTCATTTAGTTAATATCCTCAAGTTTCATCCATGTTTTATAGCACATGTCATAATTTCCTTCTTTATTAAGACTAAATATTCACTGTGTGTGTATACATTTTGCTTGTCCACTGATCTATGGACTTTGGGTTGCTTCCACATTCTAGCTGTGAGTAATGCTGCTACAAACACAAGATGCACAACTCTCTCTTCCAGGGCCTATTCTGAACTTGAAATGTGGGGCTGCACAGCAATTTTTGTTTATGTTTTGAGGAACTGCCATATGGTTTTTCACAGCAGCTGCACCATTTTTCATTCCACCAACAGTGCACAGGCTTTTACTTTCACTGCAACCTTGATGACACTTGTTATTTTGTTGTTTTGATAGTGGCCATACTAAGGGACGTAAGGTATACCTCACTGTAGTTCTGATTTACCTTTCCCTAATGATGAGTGACACTGAACTTATTTTCAAGTGTTTATTAGCCACTTGTCTATCTTCTTGGACTATTAAAGTACTTTGTCCATTTTATTTTATTTATTTACTTACTTATTTGCTGTGCTGGGAATCAAGCCCAGGGCTTTGCACGTTAGGCAAGTGCTACACCAATAAACTATGTCTCCAGCCCTCTTTGTTCATTTTTAGATTGGATTGCTCATTGGTTGCCACATTTTATTTCTTTATGTATTCTGGATATTAACATCTTATCAGGTCTATGATTTGCAAATATGCTCTGTCACTCTGCAAGTTGCATTTTCATTATGTTGACAATGTCCCTTTATGCATGAAAGTTTTTAATTTTGATGAATCTAATTTATTTCTTTGTCATCTGTGCTTCTGGTGTCATATCAAAAATAACACTGCCAAATCTTAACACCATGAAGACATTTTTAGCTCTAATGTCTACATGTCTAATGTCTTTAATTATTTGTTTTGAGTTTTGTAAACAATGTTAAAGAATCCAACTTCATAGTTTTGCATGTAGATATCCAATTTTCCCAGCATAATTTGCTGAAATGACTGTCCTTTTCCACACTGAATGGTCTTGGGCATACTTGTCAAAAATCATTTGATCATTCTGGGAATGTAGCTCAGTGGTAGAGTACTTGCCTAGTATGTCTAAGGCCTGGGTTCAATTCCTCAGCATCACATACACACACACACACACACTCTCTCTCTCTCTCTCTCTCTCTCTCTCTCTCACACACACACACAAACACACACACACACTAATAATTATTATTTTTAAAAGCGTAATTTGCTCATATATGCAAGCATTTATTCTAGGCATTCTATCTTGTGCCACTGTCTATATTGTCTTTATGCCAACAGTACACTAAAGTTTTGAAATCAGGAAGTATGGGCTGGGGGCATAGATTTAGTGGTAAAGCACTTGCTTGCTTGGCAAGGACCTGAGTTCAAACTCCACTACAAATAAAATAAAAGAGAGAGAGAGGGAGAGGGAGGAGAAAAGAGAAAGGGAGGGGAAGGGAAAGGAATCAGTAAGTGAGAGCCCTTATTCTTTGTTTTTCAAGATTGGTTTGTCTATTAGGGTCCTCAAGAGTCCCTATGAACTTTAGTATGGATTTATCTATTTCTACAAAAAGATGTCATTGGGATTCTGCCAGGAATTACACCAAGTTTCACCTTGGATAGTACTGACATCTTAACATAAAGTCTCCCAATCCATGAACATGATGTCTTCCCATTTATTTTTGTCTTCTTCAATTTCTTTCAGCAATATTTGGAAGCTTACAGTATATAAGTTTTTCACCTTACTTGAGAAGTTTATGCCAAAATATTTTCTTCTTTTTGATGCTATTATAAATGGATTGACAGGCACCAGTAGTTCACACCTATAATCCTAGCTACTCAGGAGGCAGAGATCAAGAGGATCTCAATTCAAAGCCAGGCCCAGGCAAATAGTTCATAAGACCCTATCTTGAAAATACCCAACACAAAAAAAGGCTGGTAGAGCGACTCAAGCAATAGAGTGCCTGCCTAGCAAGCATCAGGTCCTAAGTTCAAGTCCCAGTGCCACCAAAAAAGGGGAGGAGGGATTATTTTCTTAATTTTCTTTTTTGATTATTCATTGTTATTGTATAGAAATGCAATAAGTATTGATTTTGTGCCAGCTACTTTGTTGAATTTATTAGTTCTAAAATTTTTTTGTGGAATATTTAGGGTTTCTTACATATGAGAAAAAAGGTAATTTTACTTCTTACCCAATGAGTGCCTTTTTTTCTCTTCTGGCAAACTGCTCTGGCTAGAATTCTCAATAGTATGTTAAACAGAAGTGGCAAAAGTAGGCATCCTTATCTCATTCCTGTTCTTAGAGAAAATGCTTTCAGTCTTTTGTCACTCTGTATAATATTAGTTGTGAGAAAACAAATTTTCAACTTGGTCTTAAAAGACAGGTACGGGCTAGGCACTGGTGGCTCACACCTGTAATCCTAGTTACTCAGGGAAGGCTTTTTTTTTTTTTTTTTTTGATGGTGTAGGGTTTGAACTCAGGACCTTGTGCTTGCTAAGGCAGGCACTCTACCACTTGAGGCATGCCTCCAGCCCAATCCTAGCTACTCAGGAGGCAGAGATCAGGAGGATTGCAGTTTGAAGCCAGCCTGGGCAAACAGTTCATGAGACCCTATCTCAAAAACCCTTCAAAAAAACAGGAGTGGTGGAGAGGCTCAAGGTGAAGGCCCTAAGTTCAAACAGCAGTACCAAAAAAAAAAAAAGACAGGTAAGATATGAACACTTAGGACATAGAGGGGAAAGCATTCCAGGAGGCAGGATCTATATAAAAAAAAAAAAAAAAAAAAAACAAGAATAGAGAGAAGAAAGTTATTTTTTGCTACTACCCTTAAACTCAGTTAAGATCAAAGAGGAAAGTCAACTAAACCAATACTTCTCATTGCCAAATGAGAGGTTACTGTCTAAATTCTATCCTTGTCAGCTGAATGGTTATAATACATGGGATACAGAAATTGTGTCTGTTACACAATTCTACTGACAAATATGGGTCACTAACTAGTGATAACATCCTTCAGACACAAAAAAACAAACTCTTCTCACTATTACAATATAGAAAGAAAAACATCTAATTAATTTATGAAATAATCTCACTATGTATACATAGAAAGCAAGTGATGAGGTTTTCTGATAAGCCATACTTGAAGGTTTCTTTTTTTTTTTTTAAGCCACAAATTTCTAAAGAACAGATCACAGATAAAAGCCTAATACAATGGGGGGAGGAGGGATAAAGAAGAATGGTAGAGGGAGTGAGTTCAACTGCAATATATAGTAAGAGCTTTTGTAAGTGTCACAATGTACCCCCCAGTACACAGACAAAACTAAAGCCTCGCATGAATTATATTCAGTTGTAACAACATTTTAAAGCTCTTTGTGTGCTTCTAAAGTAAGCAAGTTCATTAATGATCTCTTCTCTGAATACTCAAATCTAAAGCATAATTTATGCAGTGCAACTTTTCAAGTCCCTGTTTTCTTTTTTGTTGTAAAACATATCAACATGTAAAAGTCTATGCAATGAATGTGCACGTTTCTACTAGGAAAGTATGCATTTCATTTAGCACTGAGACTGCAGTTTTAGTACATTACCTCACTTAGTAATAGTAACGCCAACTTCAATACCAGTACTTTTAAGTTTTGAGAATTCTCAGTAACTCCTTTTTAAAAAAATCTGTAAAATTAAAGCACTTAAAATATCAAAATATTTGTATGTATGATTAAAACATATTACAAAATGGCAAATACAAACCAAGAGTGTGAAACATACATGGTTATTTTAAACTAGCACATACAATAAAAATGTTCTAATAAACTATACATATACAAACTGTATACTGACAACCTAGAAATGAAATCATTGCACTTGACCTTTGTGGAGTGAGCTGAAGGGAGCCATCAACATCCTTATTACTGTGCACATTCAGTTACTGACAAACTTCACCTGAAGAAAGCAGTGAGGAGATATGTATAAGCTAAGGCTACATATTTGTCTTGGATTCGTTATTCAAGTAATCCCACCTCTGGCATGACCTGGAGGAAATCTTTTGACTAGTCCTTTGCTTTCTTCACATGGGATAAAATCTTCTATCAACAAAGAACTGTAGCTTTCATTTCAGAAAGGCATTCTGCTTGAGCTTTCCTTCAATTTCATCATTCAGCAATGGAGGTTCCCCACCATCTATCACCTTCAATACTTTCATGTTCAGATTCCACTTATTCAAAAGGTCACTGAGTTTACTTAGGAATTATTCTTCTGCAAGCTATAGTTTATCAACCATTTTCTTCTTCCTTTTGAAAAGTGTGGAATTACATGAGAGTGACCTTTTGTTTTAATCTGGAATTCTAATAACCACATGAGCACATCTCAAGATGCAAGTGATTCAGATTTTCTTATCCCAAAATAAGAAATAATGTTAGTTTCACTGTACCAAAGAAAACCCACGTCAGTGGGTTAAAAGTGCACATGGCATGCAGGACTAAGCATCATACTCTTGGTAACTACACTTTAGCACCATGTTAATGTTTGCTGTATCCACTACAGTGCTGACTCAGATTTTAAGAGTTATTTTTGTTTGCTTGTTTATTTATTTAAAAGACAGGGTCTCATGTAGCCTAGGGTAGGCTCAAATTGACAATCCTCCTGCCTCCACTTCCTGAGTGGTGGGATTACAGCTATGCACTCCCATGCCCAGTTCACAGGATCTATTTCTGATTCTTCTTTGTATCGCCCACCTCATCCAGTATCACTTACAAGCACTTGCCCTCTCAGTCTCACATTCCACGTTTGCAAAACTAGAGCACTTACACGACTCTATACTGAGAAGATTAAATGAAATATAAATAAAGCATTTAACAAAAAACTTGGTACTGGTAGCTATTATTACTCATTATTTAACTCAACAAAGGAATGAGTGCTGAACTTGGCACTAGACATAAGACACAAGTAAAAGCACACTTTTAATCAAGTAATCACAACTTCTCCATAATTTTACTGCTAGTGCCTCCAGAATGTTAAATACAGTAGTAACAGTTAACAATTTTCAGTCGTCAGATTTGTACATTTCAATCTCATACACATATGGGTTTTATGACCTCTAGCAAATTCAACATCTAAGTGTTGTATTTACGCACAAAAAAAATTAAATTACAGGTAATTATTCTCTACAGTCCTTCCAAAAAGCCTCCTTAGCAATTCAAAGTTTCATAGACAATAAATTTGCTTACCATCAGAACCTATCCGTTGTGTGACACCATCTAACATCTTCACTATTTAATTCTGTAATTTCTAACAATACCACAGCATCCACATTGACAGTTCATCTTTTCAACTGACCCTCTCACTTCACAGTTCTTCGTAATTTGGGTTCTTACTCACTTGGATTTCTGTTTCACATTAACCTCTTATTCAGCACTGCTCTGCTTCCAAGGATCTCAAATGTGAATACCTAATTAAGATTAAAGTGGGGACTAGGGTTTGGGATTAGCTACTGGAAATCTATTTTTCTTTATGCTATAGTCTTTAGCCCTGGCTGAAATTCTTGGAAACCTTGGATAGGACCAAACCTTTTCCTTATACATACATATCTATGATACAGTTTAACTTGTAAATTAGACACAGTGAGTAATAACAGAGTGATTATAAAATATACGGTAAAAGCAATGTGAATGTGGTCTCTCAATCTCAGGGTACAATTTTCCTTTCCTTATCACATGAAGAATTCGCCTTTTCTCCTAAAGAAAGCCCTTCACACTTCTCTCTGCATTAGAATTGCCAGCATCACTACTTTCACTTTACCTGATCAGTAACTTTTTTTTTAATCCAACCCTTTGTTAACTAGTTCTCCAAATGCTCAAGGATCCACATCAATGACTGATCACTGAAACAACCACTAAGTGACTGATGGTGGATAGTGTATACAGTGTGGATACTCTGGACAAAGGTATCAGAGATGATGCACATCTCTGCCCTGGCAGAACAGAGCAGGACAGCACAAGGTTTCAATACGCTACTCAGAACGGCACATAATTTTGCACTTATGAACTGCTTATTTCTGAATTTTCCATATATTTTCACACTGCAGAAAAGGAAAACAGATAATCAATTCCTGTGGAGAAACTGCAGAAAAGGAAAACAGATAATCAACCCCAGTGGAGCTGACATTTCACCCTGAGACCAGAGAACACCATTAGCAGAAATCAGAGTCAAGAACACAGCTAGTCTTTCTGTCTTCCTATTTTTGATACGAATTTCTTTAGAACAGTGCTGTGCATCCCTTTGAAGAGTCTCTTCCCCATGAGGCTCATTTTCATTTTCACTCTAGCCTTTCCCTTTATGAGACTCTTAAATCTACCTGGTTAGTGCAAAGTAAATATGAAATCTAATCATAGGCCTTTGTGGCTACAAGGGACTTCAAAGATCAACTACTTACTGATGAGGAAACTGAAGACTATAAACTACTTGTAGTAACAGAGCTAAGTAACTGAATTAAAGATCCAAATTTCCTGATTGGTTTCTTTGAATCAGTTCACTTAGTTAAGTAAATAATACTAAGCTGTATTTATTATTTAGAAAACAAATGGGCTTCCTGGCTCTAATCTAAGCTGAAGGAACACTTACTTGTTGGTATACCGATAGGAGTAACTCCAAGGAGTAACCTCATACTATTCTTACTTTATAATTATGGTTAAACGTTGAGACAATTTAGTTATATCTATATATGTTTTGTTATATTTTGTTAGAGCAGGGTTGACACAGATAAAACTTTACAGTACATTTTTTATAAACAGTATTGGAAATTTTTGTTGGTGCAGATTTTAAATTACAAGCTTGATTTGATACCCTCAAATATAGTTCTTAAGGAAGATTAGTTACACATATTTGTCAGTACTTTCAAATGAGAAGAAATTACATTTTAGGAAAACTGGATGACTTATTTATACATAAGATAACAATCCTTTCATCACCAGGTAGAATTACTCCAATTCATTCAACAAATGACTATTTTAAGAAGTTTCCCTAATTTTTCTAAGTGAGATTTCACGCCTATTCAAGTAAGATATCAATATGCTCCCAAGTTTACCCCATCGTGAAGTGGTGATGGCAGCCCTGGTTTCTCTGAGACACACTTGCCCCCTGACTAGCAAGGTGTTATCTCAAACTGTTAAAAGAAAACACAGAGGAAACCTTCATGGCCTTGAATTTGGTAATGTTTCTTAAATATGACACCAAAAGCACAGACAACCAAAGAAAAAAATAGACTTTAATGGACTTTAATGTTTTAGAATTTTGTGCATCAAATGACACCACCAAGAGCATAAGCAGACAATCCACAGAATGGGAGAAAATATTTTCAAGTCATATATCTGATAGAGGATGAACAATCAGCATATATAAAGAATTCCTGGGCTCAGCGGGTGCCTCCTGTCGGGCTCCTAGCCATGCCTCTTCTGCGTGTTGGTCCCCACAAGAAGCATTTTTAGGACATCAATGCAAGCCTGAAGAGAAAGCAATTTCTTCCTCCGAAGCCATGGCATATGAGTTGTACAGAAATACCACTTTGGGAAACAGTCTTCAGGAGAGCCTAGATGAGCTCATACAGTCTCAACAGATCACCCCCCAACTTGCCCTTCAAGTTCTACTTCAGTTTGATAAGGCTATACATTCAGCATTGGCTCAAAGGGTCAGGAACAGAGTCAATTTCAGGGGTTCTCTAAATACGTACAGATTCTGCGATAATGTGTGGACTTTTGTATTGAATGATGTTGAATTCAGAGAGGTGACAGAACTTATTAAAGTGGATAAAGTGAAAATTGTAGCCTGTGATTGTAAAAATACTGGCTCCAATACTACAGAATGAGCAGGAAAAACGGCTTTTTTATGCCATCTTCTGTTGTTATTCATCGCTTTTTGAAAAGAAGCATAGAAGAGAATTTTTTTTTAATTTATTCTAGTATTGCAAAATGACTACACTGTGCTATACTATCAGAGAAAGCAAGCAAAAAGAAGCTTATAACTGTGTTCTCTTATATTATCTTTATTATACAGCATGAAAAAACATAATTTTTTTAAAATGACAAATTAAAAGTGGCTGCCTTCCTAAAAAAAAAGAATTCCTATAGCTTAACAAGAAACAACCCAATTCAGAAATGGCCAAAGGATATGAATAGAAATTATCAAAGATCTATAAATGACCAAAAAGTACATGAAAACATGCTCAGCATCAGTGGTCATTAGGGAAATGCAAATCAAAACTGCAGTAAAAACCACTTTACATCGACTAGGATGGCCATCTCACTCCCACAACAAGGAAAAGGCAAATAACGTGTAGTAAGGATGTGGAGAAACTGTGGACCCCTACTCCAACACTGTGGGAAATGTAAAATGTTTTGAGGAAAACATTTGTTTCCTCAAAAAATTAAAAAGAGGGCTAGAGGCATGGCTCAAGTAGTATAGCACCTGCTTAGCAAGCATGAGGCCCTGAGTTCTAACTACAGGATCATGCAAAAAAAAAAAAAAAATTTCCATGTATCTAGCAATACTGCTACGTACTGAGGCACACATTCAAAAAATGTGATGTAGCACAGACACTATGGAAATGTCAAAATGTGTCACTCTTCCTAGTAGTCGGAGAAATCACTCGTGCACACTGGCTAACAGTCACTATCTCCACTAATCTCAGTTCTTCATTCAGGTGAATTGCATCTTTGACAAAGCAGAGTACACATGATGAGGTCATGATGCCACAGTTTCTAGAAATTAGCTCTGAAGAGTTGGTCTTCTCAGCCTGTTCCACTTTGAACTACAGAAAGGGTACTGACATTGTGATCTCAGCGAACACCAGCAATCCCAGCACTTAGGAAGCTGAGGCAGGTTGATCTCAAGTTCCAGGACAGTATGGGTTACGTAGCCTGTCCTAAAACACTAGCCTGTAGCCTGGTAGGCAGCTGTTACTAGCTTTCATTTCAATATACTATTCCTATTTTAAGTGAACACATACTTTCACACTTTTAAAGAATTTCATTTTGAGAATGCCTCTTTTTTTTACGTCTAAAGAGCACTGGAATGAATCTCACCATAAATATCTACTTACAAGTGTTGTATCTATGAAGTAAGTTTAAGGGAGACTATTAGAATTCTTATCTAGACCTCAAAATGGCTGGCTGGGGTGAAATAATGATTTCTGCTAATGTAAAATAAATTGTATGTTTACAGTAACAATTTAAAAATATATTACCACATATCTCTTCTTAGCTAATCTTAGTTACATAATTTAATTAGCTAAGAAGAGATGGAAATAAGACAAAACCTTTTCAGAATCATACTTGTTTTTCTGGTATATTTTTATTTGAATGAAATATACTGAGGCTGAGCATTTGGTGGCTCATGCCAGTAATCCCAACTACTCAGGAGACAAAGATTAGGAAGATCATGGTTTGAGGCCAGCCCGGGGGGAAAAGTGAGACCCTATCTCAAAAAATACCCACCATGGGGGGTAGAGGGGAAACACTGGATGGCTCAAAGTGGTAGAGTGCCTGCATGAGCCCAAGTTCAAACTCCAGTATCATAAAAATATACATATGTTGAAATTTTACATAGACAGATCAGAACTTTCCTTTTGGCTGGGCACGATGGTGTATGCCTACAATTCCAGATACTTGGGAGGCAGAGGGAGGTGGATCTCAAGTTCAAGGTGAGGCACAGGCAAGGTTAGTGAGACCCTATCTCAAAAACAAATTAAAAACAAAAGGGATGTGACCATAGCTCAAGTAGCTTTGGGTTCAATCCCTAGTGCAACAAAAATAATGTGATAATTAGAATAGCAGTCTACTACTACAAGAACGGGCAAAGTGGCTCAAGCAGTTGAGCACCTGCTTAGCAAGCAGTGAGGCCCTGAGTTCAAATCCCAGTATCACTCCCCCAAAACAAAATTTTTTAAAAGAAAACACAAAAATCACTGTCTACACTTACCATCATCTTATGAAAGAAACATTTTATCACAACCCACCCCCTCTCTCAAGGAAGATATAATCTCAGAATAAGGGAATCATTGAAATTACTATCATTAGTAGGCTTATTAATTCAAGGGCTGGAAGTGTGGCTCAAATGGTGGTTCAACCTCAATTGAGGGGTGTGGGGAGAAGGGAAGGAGAGAGACAGACAGAGACACAGAGAGACAGAGACAGAGAGAGACAGAGAAAAGAAGAAGGAAGAGGAGGAGGGAGGGAGAGAGAGAAGGGAAAAGGGGAGAGGAAGAAATAATAATAGTGCAAGGTAGATTGTTAAAATAGTTCCCAAACATTAATCTTTACATAACAGCTGACAGAGTGGCTCAAGTGGTAGAATACCTGCCTAGCAAGCCTGAAACCCTGACTTCAAACCCAAGTACCACCAAAAACAAACAAACAAACAAAAAACCTACAGAGAAAATAGTTTGCAAGACCCTATCTCAAAAATACCCATCACAAAAAAGGGCTGGTGGAATAGCTCAAGGTGTAGGCCCTGAGTTAAAACCGTAGCACCACAAAAATAAAAGAAAGACAAGCCCAAATGTTGAAAAGAGTAATTAGAGTCTAGGTAACATGCCAACAAGAGAGGACAGAAGCCAAAATGAAGAACTGAATGATAAGAACCAGAGAGGCAAACACATGACCTCTATTGTGAATATTTTTGGTACAATAAAGTAGAACCTACAGGGTTGGCAGAGTGGCCCAAGTGATGGGGCACTTGTGTAGCAAGTATGAGGCTCTGAGTTCAAGCCCTATACAACCAAAAAAAGGAAGTAAAATCTATGGAATTAACTTAGCAATTTCAAAATTGTATTGTATCCACACATCAGCTAACATTTCTGTCTCAGAATAAAACTATGTGAGGAAAGCATTCTTTGAATTCCCAGGCATCATTTAACATACTGGGTAAAGTAAGCACTGTGTGGGAAGTCTGATCAGCTACTGGCTCGGGAAAGAAAAACTAAGTTACCTCTTTCTTGAGAATCTGAGGAGAAAAATAAGCCTCCAGAAGTGGAAGTCTCCATTCCAACAGGGAGCTAATCACTAGTCAGTTCTAATCATCCCCTAGCAGCAGTCCCAACACCCTTGCCCTCTTCTCATTTTGCTGTACTTTCCAACAAACCAGCTGGCTAATTCCCTATGCACATAGCCAATCCACTGAAGGGAGCTGGAGAAAAGCACCCATCAGGACTGACACTCAAAATGCTTTATCATACACCTCCAGGGTTGATCTTCTAATCTATGACACATTCCCATTCTGTTTAGTTTCCTACATGTGCTTCTCGATAACACTTGCCACTTCCTCTTCCTCATGAAACCTCCAGAAAACCTCTGCTTTCCTCAACTTCAGTGAGTAATTTACATTCTATTTTCACTGTAGAATCAATCTGTAGATAATTGTAGACCCTCATTGTTAGGGTCTGGATTTTAAATGTCTCCCAACAGCCCATATGCTAAAGGCCTGGTTGCCAGCCTGGGACACTACCAAGACATGGTAGAACCTTTAAGACATTGTAGATACTGAGAAATGGTAGAACCTTTAAGAGGTGGGACTTGGTGGAAGGACATTAGGTCACTGAGGGGTGTATGTACCCTTAAAGGGGATCGCAGCAGTCCCTTCTCTTTTGCTCTTTTTGCTTCCTGGCCACAGTGAGGTAAGCAACATGCTATGCAGTTCCCACCATGACATATTGCCTCCCCAAAGGCCCAAAGGAAACAGGACAACCAGCCACAGACTGAAGCCTCTGAAAGCGTGAGTCAAAACCAACTTTTCCCTCCATCTCATTCATCTCAGGTACTTACTTCTTACACCATGGAAAGATGACTGACATGCTCATCTTTCCATTATCAAAATGTCAACCTAACTCTGTGTACTCTTCAACACCATTCATCTCTGCTCTGAAGATCAGTACTTTTGGGGGGGAAAGGGGGATGAGCATAATAGGGGGGTGAATATGATCAAAGCACATTACATGCATGTGTGGAAATATCACAATAAAACACCTTTGTACAATTAACATACACTAAACAAATAATAATGATAAAGTCCCTCGTGCACTGGTTCTCCCACCTTTTTCTCCCTCTAGTACACTGCTTCAGAAATTGCACCCTCTCATCATCATCTTTCCTTCTCTCTAGATTTTTCTCATGCATACATAAATCTGTAACCTCTTCCATGTTAAAATCTCCTTTCCCTGTTCTAAGAAAGGAGGGAGGGGAGATAAAGGAGAAAGATGGAGAGGGTGAATCTAACAAGATGCACTATAAACACTTTTGTAACTGTCACAACGTACCCCCAGTACAAGTATAATATGCTAATTAATTAATTAAATGAAAACCCTCTCTTCCCCATGCCCCAATTTTCCCTGTTCTCTGCCGATTCTCCAGTGAGTCATCTTTCTGCACTTGCCCCACTTCTCTACCTTGCATTTGCTTTTTTGATTCTCACCCCAAAATGTTTTAGTGTATAATTTCTACAAATGACTTTCTCCTACATAATAAATATATAACTACCAAAATCAGGACACCAGCATTGACACAATTCTACCACCTAAATCTCACACCCATTTGAGCTTTTTCAGTTGGCCTCATAATGTCCTTTACAGCAAAAAGACCTACGTCTATGATGTTACACAATTGTTTCATGTTTCTCTAGTCTTCAATTTCAAACAATTCTGTCTTTCCTTGTCTTCCATGGCCTTCACACTTTTAAAGGTTATCAGCCAGTTATTTTGTAAAATGGCCATCAAGTTTAGTTTGTCTGATACTTCCATAAGGTGTTAACCACCAGGTCTCTCCAATGTAAAGTAACTTTTCATTTTGTGATTAACTTTAAGACTATAAAGTCTTT